TATTGTCATCATATTTTTCTCCTTAAATTGTGAAATTTTATAAAATATGTATAATAAAAACAAAAATTACGAAAACAAAATTATAATTAAAAACTTAGATAAACTTAGAAAAATTAATAAAATAATTATTAAACAAAATTAATGTTACAATTGACTTTGAAAATTAACGTGATCTTGTTTGATTCAAGTGATCATAGATGGACTTTAGCTGGTAATATGTAATATATCTTTTCTTAAATTATGCTTAACTCAAAGAATTCTTCCGCTTGCTTTATAAAAAATTTAGAAAAATGTCACATTTTAATTCAAGTTTTTATGTATCAGTTTTAATCAACCAATATTCTAATTTTAATAACTTTATAAACTATCCATAATTATATGTCATATTCTCATTGATTGCAACTATTTAGCAATTTACACAAACAGAATCACAGACATAATTACTTTGAAATTCAAATAAAGACAACAAAATGTCATTATAAAATAATACTATTAGTATATATTTACAGGTTATAGTTTACAATTGTAAATATCGACAATGAGAATGAATTTGAAACTTCTTTTCTTCATATTTATGCTCACTATAGTATCACTAGAAGGACAAGTAAACTTCACGGAAAACTTAAGAGTTTTATCGAAAGGATTGATTAATTATATGTTTCCTAAAGATCCTGGTATAGTGAAAGTGAGGAAACCAGAAGATGTCAAAACAGGAAACAATATAACCATATTAGATTTTGTAAGTGCAACAAAAATGTGCAATAATATTTTATTAACTATTGTTTAATTAATTTAATCTTTTATATTTTTTTAAAGAAGTATTTAAAAAAAATAATAGCTTAATTAAAATATTAGACAAAACAATTTTCTTGATAAAAAGAATATCTTGCTATCTTAATGTTTATAGTTTATAATACAGCATGATTTTGTAATCAGTAGCAATGTAATCATCAAAATATTTTTGTTCAAACAATAAATATATTGAATAAACAACAATATCTGAAGAATGGAACGTCTCAACTCATTCTGAATTACAAGAGTTTACAAAATTTTAATACCGTTAGAAAATAAATAATACTCTTAAATCTTCTCTAAATTGTTCTTTTTTTACGTAATTAGATTTTTTATTATTTTACATATTTCAATCATTGAAAAGTCTTGACCTCTTCTTTAACATTCTATATGCATGTATGTTTACGCAGATCGGTTTAGTAGAGCAATATGGTTACTCCGCCGAGGAGCATTATGTCACAACGGAAGATGGTTATAACTTGGTAATACATAGAATATTAGAAAAACCTTTATCTAAGGATCAACAAGAAAGAAAAGTAGTGTTCTTCCAACATGGTATGTCGTGCACGTCTGATACTTGGATATTACTTGGTCCTGGTAGAGACCTTGGTGAGTGATTATGAATGCATGCGATGAACTGGTTTTATTGAGTTAATCATATTCAGAATTACTTTATCATCTAAGAGACAACAGAACTTTGAACGAAACTGTTTTATATCTTTCACTTTTTGTTTACTCTAAGTCCGTATGAAATTTTTCGCGGCATATAGAACGAATATTGTTCCTACTGAGAGAAAAATTATTGCAATTATCATTTAATTATAATGTGATATTTGATAAAATATTAATTTACTTCTAGTTATGACTTATTGTTATTAGAATTAATTTTGTGGCTAATTTGGTAATGTAATAAAAAATCTAATTACAGATCATTATCTTGTTTTATAGCATTCTTATTGGTTGATCAAGGATATGATGTATGGCTTGGAAATACCAGGGGAAATTCTTATAGTAAATCACATATAAAAATGTCTCCACGAGATAAGGACTTTTGGCAATTTAGGTAAAATTTTATGTTATATACCATAAGTACTATTATAAACAAATAGTTTTTATTAATTTTAACATTTCGTTACTTAAAATAATTTACTTATATTAATCTTACTCTTTTATTTCTTATATTTTGCTTTATTCAGAAGCTAGTTTTCAACACTTTCAACTAAAATTTCTAATTAAAATCGACGTTTTCTTAATCAAAAATATAAAGCTATAATGCTATACAGTATGGACATATTACATATGTTGTGTTTGTGAAGTTAGCAAATTCTATTAATTTTTAATAAACAATATGTATATTATATATATATATATATAT